GTACGGTTTTCGCCCGTCGCGGCGATTCTCTTTCTTTCAGCGGTGCTGTCTCGCTCCTTCCACCCTCTTCTTCGTGCCAACCCCCTCGATCCCTTAGCCCCGTTTGCGAGACATTCTTGCTACGTCCTTTGCGCTCTTTTATTCGTTCCGTTGTCGCGAGTAGGGGATCGCCGGAGCGGCGGTTCCCTCTACACCCTTATCAACATTATTATCTCTCACTACCATCCAATGCCACCACTGGCCCGCGCGCGTGCATCGTCCCGCCGTCTCCGCGCGGCGCGGTCTGGTAACGCGCGCATGTACGTGTTGTACGAGATCGTTCCGCGCAATGCAATTTTCTTGGCCCCGGTATAATTACACCTCCGACGCTCGCCACTTCGGTACACCCAACCCCGTCGGCCGAGATTTTAATGATTCGAGCGATTACGACGCCCGAAACGATCGTAGCTGTTATAATAATAATAATGTTGATAATGATTGGATGGCTGGTGGACGACTTGGCGGGCGTCCACCGGCGGGCTGATCTTATAGACGGCAATAGTGGTCGTATTGATTTTATGGAAACGTTCGGTATTGCTGGAGCTGATGTTATTTAGGAAATTGTTCTTTGAAGAGATTTTTTGGGAGGTATGGGGACATTTGTATTTAGTTTTGTGGAATTTGCTTGAGACAGGATTAATATTAAAATTATAGTTGAACGTGAAGGTTTCGAAATTTTTTACTGGTGACCATTGTTTTGTTTATTAAAATGAAAAGAATTATGAATATGTTGGTTAAAATGTTTTATATATTAGTACAAACCATTATAGTTATATTTTTTATTTCATTTGTTTACGCACTTATTTCTTGTAGAGAAGGATCGTAGGCATTTCAATAGAAACGAAACTTTTTTATGTTATATCTTTTTAAAACTTGTTTTCTGAAAATGTAAAATCATGCAGAAATAGCTCGTCGTTTCCTTAATTCTATGCTAGGCGAGTCTCACACATTTCCAGTTAGTCATCCACAACAGTATACATCAGTTCTACATTGTATTCAAATCTAATTTACTGATTCCGTTGATCTTTAACCCAGTTGCCACATTAGACACAATTCATGTATATCATTGTCAAGGCCGCATGTAAGTATACATTGTTGCAAATTAATGTAAGTTAATAGAGGCAGAAACGCGTTAATGCTGTGGTTATATTACCTTTATTATATTACTATTATTGCTGTTATTATTATTATTATTATTATTATATTATAATCTGTGTGGGACATATACTTTCGCTTCTATCATTCACAAATGCTTCAAACAATATGCTTCTTGAAATACTTGTAACTTTGACCTTTGATAAGACTATATTCTTTATACTTTTGTTCTATACAAATGGGTCGATTCATTTTTTAATCAATATTAAACCTACGTCAAGTGTTCACCCTTAAGGATGTTACATAATTTAAGGTTAGTTTCAACAGAACTATCCGCAAATGCTAGTTCTATCGAACAGTTTCATATCACGAATATATCAATGCTACAGTATTTATAATTTTATTAACGGCAAAATCTAGATTTGCCCATAATTTAATACTATCATTGTTAATTACACAGGCACAGACGATTACCATAAAAAAATCATTCAAATTGTGTAACAATACCTCACCAAGAATATTAAGTTATTATTAATCAAATTCAAATTATTCCACTAACATTTCACACTTAATTCATACAATTTTCCTTACTAAATATTAATACCTAATATCCTAATGTTACCGTTACATTGAAAAGAAAGCTAATTAATAATAATTAATAAGTTTGGAATTGTCATTTAAGAATACCAGGTAGTTCATGATTATAACAAAATCATACAGAAAGTTTATTAAGAAATCCTTAATCGTTAATAATCGATCATAAAAAAGATACTAAATATTTACCGACATTAACGCTACATCCTTATAATAGCCACAGCCACATAAGACCCTCACTCCTCTCTCCCATCCCTAAACAGTTTGTCCCTTGAACTCCACCGTTCTCACGCGCAGACCCAGAGCCACGCGACCCGGCGACCTGAAATCGGCCGACCGCCGGAAATGTCGGCGGGGTTAATTAAATTCACGACCGTCGCTCGTGGTCTCCATACCAATTGCATCAATGTTCACGCATTTCCGCGTTCCATGCAGAAACTCGCGTGTATGTCAGTCTTAAACGATTGCGTCTCTAAGACGTCGTTCCTTATGCAGCAAAAGCTAGGGAACAGTAGAAATCGACGCGATAATAATCCAGCGGGCAGGCCAGCTTCCTAACGGGTCATCGAAACACGGTGGAAAATAACAATAGTCGGAGGGACGAGGAGAAGGAGGAGGAAAAACGAACAGCCGGGGATGAAGTAGTCGAGAGAAGCAATTCGGGGCTTAAGTAGAATCGTCTACTAGCGGCGGAAGGTCGCGAGAGCAGTAGGGGCAGGTGGGGGCGGTTAGCGGCGGCCGTGGTGGTGGTGGCGGCTCCATCGACGGTGGTTCCCCGGCCTTTTTCTTACACGGTTTTCCAGCCTCTGTAGCGGCGTCCGGTGAGCCGAGCGGCTGGTTGCCCGGCACCCCACGTGGTGGTGGAGGGTGGCGGAGGCGCAGCCAACGGGAGAGCGCACAGCGAGCCACCCTTTCCTCTCGATTCGACCCCTCCGC